CATTAGGAACCAACTTCGTGGGAAATAAATTTTATGGCTTATAGCCTAACTCGATAAAACGCTCGAAGTTAGACGATTGAATTTCCCAATAATTAAAGTCCAAAATAACACTTTATTGGGGTCTGTTCGTTCCTCACAGTTTTGCTCCCCGCATTAAGTAATGTATCCAGTATGCGTATTAAATTAAATTAAACTAAACAACTACCAGTGTTCACTATTTTTATTTTTTTGTTTCAAGATACTATGGCCGTAGGTCTTTTCCAAGCATCTGAAAGACGGTCAGTAGCTATAGCTTAACAAAACAGTAAAAGAAAAATAGAAATTTACATAAATACGGTTACAAATTCAAAATACAGTAATTAATTTAATTCGCCTAATAATTAAGCCTAATAATTAAGTTAACAAGTAAGTCGCCCGATTAATCCTGTTTCTTTTACGTTGCCAATTTTTGATAGCAGCTTTCGCTACAAAAAAAAAAAAAAAATCTTCCTAACCTGCGATGAACGGCTTTCAAAAAAACGTTTAGTACGGGTGGTCTGAAACATTCTGTATACATATATTTTGCTAACCATTCGATTTCTATTTTAAGATTACTACTACTACTACGAGTTTTATTTAATAGCAGTTAAATAATAGTAACTTCAAACATAGCCAAATCACGTGTCTTACGTATAAACAAACTCTCTCGCTTTGTATATTTCTAATTGTCTTTTTAACAAATGAATGGGATGTTTTAAAAGTGTTAAACATAGTTGCCGAATAAGAAAATGTGAGTAAAATATAGTCGAAACTAATTAAATAAACATATTCGGTTACTTTGAAACGCAAGAATTAAATTTTCGTCGCAGAAAGACAACTAAAATAAATTATTGTGATATCGTCACAATGTCGGGCTGCATTGTTAATCATATATTAATAATTTTCATCAATTACGTAACGCTATTTTTGTATTTTTAAACTACCACCCCAACTCCAGTAACGCTCTTTAACGTCGTCCATATACCCACTCAAAAATTACGTAACGCGTATTCTTAATCAATCCCCTTAATTGTAGAGTAAGGTAACCTAAGCGTACGAATTTTAATTTCTCGATAATGGCAACATTAATCAGGCCTAATTGATTGATTGGCTCTATACAAGGTTTGTATGTTGTATACAAACTCAGCCCTTCATAAAGGAGGAGGGCGAGTTTCTGTACATTGTGTATCATTAAATTGAATCTTATGAAATTTTCTGAAATGCTTTACACCTGGAATAACGAGTTCTCAGATCTTTAAAGTGGAAATGATTTTAGTTTGTTAATAGAAAGTTACTTTGTTAGTTACGTTTTGGCGAGATTTGCTGGAGCATGCACGTACAATGTCGAGAACTATTTTTCTGAGTTAAGACATAGGTTCTCAAGAGTACGCATGTAATCTCACGGTCATATTCACAACCAAGGATCAAGAGTTAAAGTTAACCAATAATCGTTCATTTTACTTTTAGTACGTAAACGCTTATTGGTTAGAGGCACTGTTAGTAAATTTAGGCATGTCTACAAAATTTCAGCCTTCTATCTTGATTGAAACTAGATGAAATTTGAGTTGCAAGGTTTGAGGACACTCTACAAAGAAAATTAAGTAAAAGTGTTTAATAATAACAAAAAAAAGTGTTTAAGATGTGTCCCTAAGCAGTTATCAGCCCATCAGTGGCGAGTGGATAAAACCACCGAACACTGGTAGTTGGCCGCGGGTTCGCGCACGATCAACAGGCCGGTCACGTGGAATTTCCGGGTTTCCTTCACGTACAGTACTGCACCTAACACCTAAATAGACGCCAGTTTCCGTAGAGAGTCCTTCCGGAAGGCATCGCCTTTGGCAGAAACGCCCATATGTTGTGTTGCTTTATCCTATCAATCCTAATCCTATAGACAGCCGAGTGGCCGAACGGTCAAGGTGGCAGCCTATCGCTCTGGGGACCCGGAATCGAATCCAGATCAGAGTGTCGGACGACGGGGCTCGACATATCCTCACCACCCGGTCACCCCATTGTGGGCTCGCTAAAAGAGACACTCTTAGTAGTCACAGGGCGTAGAGAGTTAAAAAAAACCTAAACCCTTCTGCAATTACTAGATTTATTTTTTGAATACGATTTTGTAGAATATGTCCAGGTTGATGACAATATTAATTTTAATTAATGTATGGAATAAATACAGTAAACTCCATAGATAAAACTTGTGTCATTTATTTCCAAATTACACCACCATCCAGCTCACTGACAGCAGCTCTCCCTACGAAGAGATAAAGTTATCAATAAAGAAGCTACTTTAAGTCATGCAATGGCTCCAATAGGCTATAGCTGATCAGCTATTTTACTTAGTGATCACTCGATCGCACCACATTTTTCTTATCAGAGAGCATTTAAACTATGTTTTTATTGTCAAAACTTCTTCCCATGATTTAAAAATCTACATATCAAGTATCTTGTACAATCAAATATTATGTTTGAATTTTAATAGTTACATTCTTGTTAGAAATTAACATAACTGGAGAATGACGACCACCTCCCAGCATTGTATTATGCAAATATGATTAATACTTTTTATCAATTACCCTCCCATACAAAAAAGGGTCTAACTTTAAAAAAAAAAAGTTGTGAAATTACCTCCCTTTAAACAATGATAGTAACCAAACAGGAAACGCTAAAGACTAATAAACCGAATGTAACGGAATTTTCTTCCTCTTTCCATTCTATGGGTACTAAGAGCAGGGCCGCCGTAAGCGGGCGTGCAAGGCGTGCACCGCACGCGGACGGCACGTCCAGGGGGCGGCAAAGAGGCTTTCTGGCAAGCTCAACATAGGTAATCGTAGTTAAACAGGGGGCGGCATAATCGGTATTGCACACGGGCGTTCAAACAGCTAGCGGCGCCCCTGACTAAGAGGGCCTTTTTCAGGCCCATCGTGAGTTCGGTCAGGTCCACAATGGCGATGGAAGGGGTCCGACATATCACCCCCATTAAATTTCTGAGGTTTTTCGACTTATAGAATGGTAGGTTGATGCCTTAACCCTCTCGTCCATCTGGCCACTCAATATTTATAGATTTACTTATGGTTTGTAGTATGGACAGACTGATATCTTGACTATATATGCAAGATTAAAGCAATTAACAGAAAAGTGCGAATGAATAATGGATGATATAATCGCTTTGATGAGTTTGCTCTATTTTTAATAGTTCTTTCTGTTTCTCTCGTCCTCATAAGGATTGTAGGATTGATGGATAAAAGCAACGCAACGTGTGGGCGATCTGCCAACGGTGGTCCCATCCGGGAGGACTTTATTGGCAAGCGTCAAATCCGACAGAGGGCGCTGTTTTTGAGCCAAGCTGGCTGCCGAAACAGGTAAGGAACCGACCACGTGTTTGTTCAGTGCCTGAGCCGATTCAGTTTCTATCGGTGACGACTACTGCGAGGACCAAATGGAGAACAAATCATTGAATTTATGTCAAATTCTAGACTATATCGGCGACAGGAAACGTCTTGTAGAAGGTGAAGCCGTTTTGGATATATGAAACGTACACACACACACAAAACATAATGTGTACTACAAAGTTTTGACTGGCCTATGTTGTATATGTGCTGAGTGACTCAGCAGGACAGCCTTCAGATTATCATAATAGTTAAAATTAGTGCCAAATAAAACTATGTTTTTATATTGGAACATGGTGTATACTGCTTAAAATATTTAAATACTTCTCACCTGTTAACGTGTAATAAACATGCTATCACATGTTTACAAAAACCAGACAGTCCCGCTTTGCACGTGCATTCTCCCTGTAATTGAGATGTATTAAAATGCCAATATCTGATTGCAACATTAAAGCAACAACATGAACTTCGGTGTTGTTGTTAGAGTTTAATCCACAAAATACGATGTGTCCGGCATCCAAAACGGCTTCACCTTCTACAAGACAACGTTTCCTGTCGCCGATATAGTGTAGAATTTGACATAAATTCAATGATTTGTTCTCCATTTGGTCTTCGCAGTAGTCTTCTATTTAGATAGACGTGCGACGAAAACCCGAAAATTCCACATTGGTGATGCGCGAACCCGCGACCAGTTGGCTTAGGATTCGTGCCACAGATGGACGTACTTTATACAGAAATGGATGGACACACACACGCCGTAGTTTAAAGGTTATTTCGTATGCATTTTTGTACGTTTCCCCCTCCCAAAAACGCACGCCGTTTAGAGATTCCACTGTATATATAAACAAATGAAATTATCATTGAGACAAATCTAACTAAAGATTATTTGTTATTCATTCACAAAGTTAACGATTCTCTTTGTAAATTATATTTCTTCAAAGAGCGTGACGTAAGAACTTTGCTATTGATATTGTAGTGTTATTGGTTAGAAAATCACGACATAACTATTTAATGTTAGTTCTATGAGTAAACGTAACGAACGTAAAGAAAGCAAGGAGCGAACTAACGCTGATATCAAGGAAATGACTGTTCTGCTAATCTCGGATATCGTAGATGATGATATCACGAACATAACATAAAAGTAAATAAGAATAACCCGAATAATCGAGTTTACGTAGAAACGTAGCTCCGTTACAGTTTCTACTCCTATAAATTAAATGTTATTTTTACTAAATAAAATTGTTTAAGACTGCTTTTTATTAATAAAGAAATATTCTATTGATACGTATTGTATTTCATTTATTAGAAAAAAAAACATGGCAAAAGGGAATCGCCCTATTCTCGACCCCGTACAATACAAGATCTCTACTTTCTATAAGAAACTGGACTCTAGGTGTTAGGTACTGTACGTGAATAAAACTCTGAAAACTCCATGCTGCCAATCCGTTGCTCGGGCTTGAACCCGAGACCATCAGTTTCAGTGGCAGTGTCCACAAGATCACTGCACTTCTTGAAGGGCACGAGAAAGGTCAGGGGTGAGGATTGGAATCACTAATCCCAGCTTTTCAATAAGTCAAAGAGCTATAAATGATCAGTTGTAATTACCCATTATTCGCATATCTATGATATATGCACCCAGACTCAAAATTCAATAATTTTTCCCATAAGCGCTGGGGAATGCCGCTTCCGTCTCCCGCAAATCCGCCGTGACCATAGCAACATATTAGACGCCACGAGCAACTATAACAACTGTCTATAATCACTTTAATTACAGACAATTTACAGCAGTTATACTGTCAGTTGTAGTTCCGGATATCTACGTTACAGATCACAATTTTTACTTCGACTCCTCTTTACTTACAACAATGTTTTGAGTCTATAATCAACTGAAATATTAATATATATCTTGTGCTGTAAAAATACAAAAAATGGTTCTAAAATTCACGATGATGGATTATCATCTACGAAAAAAATGCTAAAACTTGAAATGAACCTCCAAACAATGCTATTTTTAATATTTCCGTCAGTGTCCGCCGTCGAGAGGTTTAGCTGTAATTAAATCCCGAGCCATTAACTGAATTTAAAATTTCGAGTAATATCATACAGTTCAGGCAAAGGAATGCTTCAACTGCGTTACGACAGGAGGTTGTTGCTCGGGTTTCACACTAAAAACAGGTAAATTGTTAGAAATCATGTTACCAGGATAAGAGATTATACATTTTTATAACAATAAAATTCCTGACAATATTAATTTTTATTGATAAATATCCCTCTTAGAATTGATAAAGCCCAAGGAAAATAAAATCGATTGGCGATACACTTGGCAAAAGGTTAAAAGTCCTAGCGCGACGTTACCGAAACAGATTTCTTCACTCCGCCACCTGTCGTATATTTACACAACTAAAACTTTTTTTGCGCATTATACGCGATGTTTCCATCGTAAACGCCGCCGAACGCACGAAAAGTCTAAATATAAAGATTTTAAATAGTGAAAACAACCTAAAAACACAGCCAATAAATTTTTAAACGGGGAATTACTATTTCTGTTTACGACTGGCTTTGTTCCCATCCGCCCATTTAAAATGGAAACGCTCCAAGTATAACAAACCACGTAAACTAACCTTCGCCAGTTAATCACGAGACGCGACACGAAGTAAAATAAAAAAATCAGAATTTTCATTCCTTCACCAACCTTGAAACAGTAAAAAGCCGCATTACTCACTCGACAGTGTTACTAAATGAATGTAACCTATCACGTGCAGCGATAGTACGCTATCGGATAGTTAAAAGGAGTTTAGCGCTTTAAATAACATTGACTAGAAGATAAAACAATGAAATTTGATATAAACATTACTTTCTTTTATTTATCATCATCATTTTAAAAAATAATAATAAGATACTTTCTTTGATTCCCTATACTCGAATGGAATGTTTGTATTGTTTTTCCACCTACAAATCTAGCACCTCTATTGTGTTAATAGATAAGAACTATATTAGGGAACCTCTAAAAACACCTAAGAGTTTTTTTTTATTTGATTAAAACACAAACTAGGTCTGGATTTTGTGATTTAGAACGTAAAACTTCAGTCCCATTCATCGATCTGGATACCAGAATCGGGCGTAGAACCGTTTGTAGTGTGTATCGTTTTGCATTTACACTCCCCCACGTGGGCACAGGTGATGTTTAATTGTCTTTCGAAGTCTACTAATTGCTCCATGAAGTTAAAATTCGGCGATATGTTGTTCTTTCTCTTCTTAACTAAGTCGTAAGCGTCGTTGAGCGATAGGTTAAGCGTGTGCATCAAGTAAGCTAGTGTTATAGTAACAGAGCGGCTTATGCCCGCTAAACAGTGCACCAGAACTCCTTGATTGCGATCTCGACCCTCGTCTGTAAAGAAAAAAACAACAAATCAGTATTTTTTTTACACAAGCGCTTTTTTGTGGGCTTAATTTACGAATCTATTAACCACGTAACTACGTCTCCTTAGCGCGACATTCCAAAGCTATTTCCCACACGGTGCCATCTGCCCTTTCTAAATTCACAATCCCGGATGTAGTAAGGCTAATCATTCACCTTCCCAGACATTAAAGGCTTGGTTGCAGCCGAGACGTTCGACTGAAAGAGGCATACAACAATGGCTACAGTCGAATGACGAACAACAGGAAAGGTGGTTATGATAGTTTCCTCTTCTCCACCCACTTCCTGTTATACAATACGTCCCCCCGTATCCGGGACGACTTCCGGGGATGGAGCAGCTGTAGTGCTTAAGTAGGGGAAAACATTACTTTCTATTACGAATCGCTGACTGCATCGATGCATCGATAATAACTCATTGTTTCTACACCATTCAGCTGGCCCCTGTTACACTTTACCATTTAACAAGTTAGCCAGCCGCGCAATTATAAACAGGATATGCGGCAATTACTTATGTTACGCCGACAGAAACAGTTTTTTATGTAACCAAACATAGAAAATAAACAGTTTCGTTAACACTTATAAGTAGAGGTCTCAAAAGTGGTCGATAAGACATTTTCAAGGGTCAAAAATTAGTGATATATATAAATAGCTGAATGGGTTGTGTATACGACAATTAAGGATGTTGTAAATTTGCACGCTGTAAGTAGATCATTTCTATGAAAACAATGTGCGGGTTAATACTGACTCAACAGATTTAATTATTAACTGTAAAGAATCCTTGAGGGGATCGACAAAGTTCGTGGACTCCTGCTTAAAAAGGTTAGAAACGTAAAGTGTGTTTACTTATCCTGAAGTGTATGAAGCGATTAAATGTTTATGAATGTATGAGGATGTAGAGTTATCGCGGGGATAAAATAGGTCAAGGACGAGATGACCCTAGCTTATACACCCCATCTTTGTGTGTTTCTAATTCAAAATTTGGTAAATTTTTACTTACAAGCGTTCGATGTAATAAAAAGAAAACCGCATTTAACATCGATATAAACCATCAGAAACGTCATAAAACCCGTCTGATGGTACGCTTCACTTGGCAAAACTTTCGTCCAAAACGTCCTTCACAAACTTTTTGGCAGGTTTCCAAAGTCGCTCCCGTTTCCGTTCGACCTCTTCGCCCGCTGCCGTAGTGTGACGTCATTTCCTGTCCGCGGGGCAACTTTAGTTTAAGTGTCAGAAGTTTTTCCTTCCCACCTACCCCCCGAAATGCCTTTAATGAAATAATAGCATCCGACTTCCTGTCTGTTTCGGAATTAAAGTAACGTGACGCATCTAAAAAAAGGGGGAATATAAATGTGTTTTTTGAACCGGGGATGGAGTTGCTATGCCAGATAAAATCAAAAACGGGAATTATGTACTAATTCAGTGATATATAAAACCTGACAAAAAGATAAACAAGTGATAACGTATCATGAAACGAGACGAGTTCAGTATTTAGGGTGAGATGATGAAATTCGTAAACAAGTCGTAACGATAAAGTAGCTGTTTACACAACCGGTGGGTACTTTGAATCGTCAGTCTTGCAACCCCCCATCGATTAATAAATTAATAAACATTGAAATCCTTACCGATAAATGCTATGGCATCCGTAAAAAACTGCGAAATCTTCTGAGACCAATCGTCCTGTATGGGTATCTGCATGTATTTGATACCCAAATCGTCCTGTTGAAAAGTGTTGGGTAGATTGGGCGTAACGTTGAGGATGTAACGAATTTTATACTTTTTTAAAGCGTCTAAATCCGTAGAATTGTCGGCGTTGCCCAAAAACAACCAAGGTATTATCTCGATCGGGAATGGAAGATCTTTAGTCGAGTTATCCGAGTAGTTACGATTAGTATCTGTTACGGTGGTGATGCAAAGATTCTCTAATCCCAATAACGAAGGTTCTATGGGCCTCCTTCGATTTTCGCACCATTCCGGATACGTGCGCTTGAAATCATTAAAGCTTCCTGAAAATAAATCGAATTTTTTAATTGGGATTTAAGAGGGGAGGGCGATCTTTTTCGACATTGACCCGGATTTTAAGTTAAAGAATCCGTTTTATTGTTTATCGAAGAGGCGTAAGTAGTCGCTAGAGTAACAATTTCGATCGTTACATCGAGAATAAACGCCTTTGGCAACATTCCCAACCCAGATTTTGTTCGAATGAATGAAAGGCAACACTTTAAAACCGAACCCACCCACTTACTAGTTCTACTTCTCATTTTTTTTAAAAACTGCTAACACGATTCGTCTGTAGTTTATTTTTAGTTATAAGAAGTCACATTAATGTTTAAAAATTATAAAAATTATCCCATCGACGTCCTTGATTTAATTCTTCCTCGTTTTCAAATGTGTTCCATTCACGTAAAAAACTAAGCATTAGTTCCACCTGCAACGATTTACAAAGAACGGGAAGTGGTAAAGAAACTTATTTCCGGTCGCCCGACGTTCCTTTTATAGTAAACTATCGCGTTTCCGTTCGTTAAAATGCAGAAAATTTACTTAAAAAAAGCTCGTATTTACCTTGTAAACAGTATGTCCTGTAGCCATCCTTCTGCAACCTTTTATAAAGGGTTGAAATCACACTAGTTTCGTTCCATTGATAGTCTCCACCCCCGTCGTACAACACAACGATTCCGGATTTCCAAAATTTCGCAAACTTATCTCGACTTTCCGTGTCCTTAATGATACTTTTCAGACACAGTTGACCATTGGCCAGCCTCCTCATCACCAAAGTCGAAGGTGGTATTGTAACGTTGATGGCTCCTCTGACGTGTAATTCGTGGTAATCGTTGGGTAACCTACAATCCACGATCAACAGTTGCGAATTGTTTTCACGGATTCGGCTCAAGAACTCATCCAAATTTACTAATTGATAATTATAGTTCATGTTATAAGCTTCGTTGTATACTCTAGAAGGCATTTCGAAGCTGGCAACCCCACTACAACCTTTCATTCACCACTCGTTTGTACTTTATACTTAACTCCGCTGACTCCGCCTGTGTCATGTGACTCGCTTGGAATTGGGTAGGAGAACTGTGACGTCAATAGCGTGACTGGTTGCAACCACTTCATTTTTTCTCCCCCTAAAAGTATGGACGGTGAAACACTTCCTTCCCCTTTTATAAAGGAGTGTAGTTTGTTTTCTTATAAAATATTCATACTTTTTTCATTTAAGATAAGAGATACAAAGATTTAATCATAAGTAAATTTACACTTAGTTTAATTATACTCGTTCACTTTTAATCTTTAGACTCGACCTTTCTAACACAGATATATACTTTTTAAACGTGAATTTTTATAGAATTAATTGGGTAATTAATTAACTAAACACTGTTTAATATGTCGGAAATGCGAAAAATAATTTGAAAAATTTAAATTCGTGGCGCCATCTTTGTGTATAAAACTGAATTAACAGCTGTAATCTTACCCCTTTTATAAGTTTTATATTAAAATAAAAATATTTTTAGCTTAAAAACTGTATAAATGAAGTTTTATCTTAAAAATATATCGATTTTTATACGCTTAGTTTAACTTTTGTTTTAGTTGTTTAATTGGAAAATATCATTATGTAACACTTCTAAAGGTCAATTTAATGTTTTTCTCGACTGATTTATATCGAAAATTAAACTAGAATTACATAATTTTCTATTTTTATTTATGTCGATTTCTTTCTATACACAGAACTGACTTCTAGAACACAGTTTTGTATGCAGAAAAACACACTAATTAAGTTTCTATCTAGTGTAGTTCTGCGGGCAGGAATCTAACTTAAACAAGTGTATAAACACTAAAAATATCAATACTTTACAGCAGCAGTTCTCAACCAGTGGTAAACGCACCCCTACAGGTTATTAGTAAAGTGTATAGACAGAGGGCTCGGGGTGGTACGCCTTGGTAAAGGTTGAAAACCGCTGCTTTATGTAAGTCTTAAAGTGATTTTGATGCAATTTCTACTTTTATAAGGGGAGAAAATGGCGAATCTAACATCAAATTCCGTCCAGAAGGGAATAAACAACAAAAAACTCTTTTATTAAACAATTAAAACTATATAGGAACATACCTGAAAAACTTTTTAAATGCATTTTAATTGTAAACAAACTTATTATAAATATAACACGAAGTTTATAGTTTTATATAAGTATGAAATTTTATTTTATTACCTATTAATGACTTAATTAGCACGTGACAGGTGCAAAGAAAGTGAAATGTGCAGGGGGAAACCAGTGATTAGTTAGGATTGACGACCTTTTCCTTTCATTTTGCCTGGAGATACGAATGCACCTGTGATACTTAGGTCACTGATAAGTGCCTGTTTTTTTTAGAGTTATAAGGTTTAAACCGCAAATGACCAATTTATAAAGTAAAATTGACGAAAGTTTTATGTAAATTTAACGTAAAAATCTTTTTATATACTACATAAAACCATTATTACTATTATTTATGACGATAGAAATGATATCTTGTTCCGAAACCTTGTAACTAAATTATTTATAGTCGAACCTCTGAGCAACGGCCACCGACGGAAAACATTAAAAATGGCCGTTGTTTGGAGGTTATATTGTAAGCATTTTTGTTCGACATTCCTGAAATAATGGCCGACGTTGGGAGGTGCCGTTACTGCAGGTTCGACTGATTTATATTCAGATTTTTGTTCTTTAAATCTAGTTTTTCACCTACATTACCCCACTTTTTTAAATAAATACTTTTTACATTAGTTACGATTAATCACGATAAACGAATTCAATTATGTTTATCTACATAGTCAAATCTCTAAACATAAAAAATGGCCGTTCTTTGCAAGTTATTTTGTATGTATTTCAAAGAGACACGTTCTTAAAAACTTAGCCGCTGTTGAAAAGTGCCTGTTATTGCAGGTTCAACTGCCTTTCTTTATGAGTTTGTATTCAAATTTTTCTTCTTTAAATCTAGTTTTTCATTTACATTATCCCACTTTTTAAAAATAAGTACTTTCTATTTATTCCCTGTCGGTGTCCGTCGTTCAGAGGTTCGACGGCATGTATTGCTAAAGTTATTTAATGTAACTGGTAACAGTTTTTGTGAGTTTTTTAAATTAAAATTTGAAATTTTAATAGCTATATATTAAGTTAACACACGCCACGTCGTGCTTAGCAGTGTTCTAAACATCAACAGCCTCTGGCAATGAATTCATCAAAGTAAAAAAAAATTATGTAGCTTTAAATCATTTAAATTAAGCTCGTGTATTTCTAGATTAATAAATAATTTATTTGTCTGAAACTTTTAAAATAATATAAAGTTAAACTATGTTTTACTGAAAGGTGAAGCGATACGTTAACTCTAAAGCAGTATCTATAATGTATTGATTTAAACAGTTTCCTCTCATCAGTATCGCTCGATAACACTTATAAAATGAACTACTACACTTAAAAATATATTTTATTTACAATTAAGACTTATTTTTAATTGATCGGCACTATTTATCCATCAAAACTAGAGTTTCTACTGAGCAAATTCTGGGTAGAACCGAGTACATTCAAACCTATGAACGACGGCCACTGATGAAAGAATATTTACTGCTGTTTAGAGGCCGTTATTAGAGGTTCGATTGTATACATTTTCTCATTTTCGCTTTTAACTGTTACAGAATAGTGAAAATGAGATTCGTGAGTTGGTCTGTTGGGTTTTTTCCATTTATTGGACCACCCAGTGTATGCATATAAGCTCTTATAAGAGATATTTGGTGGTCCCCTTCCAGTCCTATGATGTAAATGATATCAGTTTACATATCAGATATCAAATCATCAATCTTTATATAAGATGAAGAACTTGATGCAGCTAGGAGTAACGATTTTTTTCTAACTTATTGACCAGATAATTTGGCATTCTTTAAATGGAATATTTATTAAAATAGCTTTTAGTAATGCTGAATTTATACAAAATTAACTATTTTTCTTCAATTATTCCTTTCGATTTCTTTAAATAATCGCCTAGAACTATGATTAAAACGTTATCAATATCAAAATTTAGTGTCATTAATGCCAAATTACTAGCTTCGAACGCGATATACTTTTTATTAAATGAATAGAATTAACTGTAACATTAAATATCATCATCTACATCATAATTTCTGATCTTGATTCATAGTATAGAGCTTGTTATACTGTTATCTTACACACACAACATTTACTGATTGGTTACAATTATACATATGTTATAGTACAGAAATGGATGATTCAGCTGTTACTTTGTCAATAGACGTATCTACTTTTTATAAATATAAAAGATATAAAAGCAGATATTGAACTTTTATACAGTTTATCGTTATCTTAAAAATAATAGCAAATATTTTATATACTGTATATAAATAGGAAACGTAGAGTTTTGTATTTGAATCTGCATTGATTCCGTTTATAGAATAATAAGAAATAAAAGTTTTATTTAAAATNTAAACGTGAATTTTTATAGAATTAATTGGGTAATTAATTAACTAAACACTGTTTAATATGTCGGAAATGCGAAAAATAATTTGAAAAATTTAAATTCGTGGCGCCATCTTTGTGTATAAAACTGAATTAACAGCTGTAATCTTACCCCTTTTATAAGTTTTATATTAAAATAAAAATATTTTTAGCTTAAAAACTGTATAAATGAAGTTTTATCTTAAAAATATATCGATTTTTATACGCTTAGTTTAACTTTTGTTTTAGTTGTTTAATTGGAAAATATCATTATGTAACACTTCTAAAGGTCAATTTAATGTTTTTCTCGACTGATTTATATCGAAAATTAAACTAGAATTACATAATTTTCTATTTTTATTTATGTCGATTTCTTTCTATACACAGAACTGACTTCTAGAACACAGTTTTGTATGCAGAAAAACACACTAATTAAGTTTCTATCTAGTGTAGTTCTGCGGGCAGGAATCTAACTTAAACAAGTGTATAAACACTAAAAATATCAATACTTTACAGCAGCAGTTCTCAACCAGTGGTAAACGCACCCCTACAGGTTATTAGTAAAGTGTATAGACAGAGGGCTCGGGGTGGTACGCCTTGGTAAAGGTTGAAAACCGCTGCTTTATGTAAGTCTTAAAGTGATTTTGATGCAATTTCTACTTTTATAAGGGGAGAAAATGGCGAATCTAACATCAAATTCCGTCCAGAAGGGAATAAACAACAAAAAACTCTTTTATTAAACAATTAAAACTATATAGGAACATACCTGAAAAACTTTTTAAATGCATTTTAATTGTAAACAAACTTATTATAAATATAACACGAAGTTTATAGTTTTATATAAGTATGAAATTTTATTTTATTACCTATTAATGACTTAATTAGCACGTGACAGGTGCAAAGAAAGTGAAATGTGCAGGGGGAAACCAGTGATTAGTTAGGATTGACGACCTTTTCCTTTCATTTTGCCTGGAGATACGAATGCACCTGTGATACTTAGGTCACTGATAAGTGCCTGTTTTTTTTAGAGTTATAAGGTTTAAACCGCAAATGACCAATTTATAAAGTAAAATTGACGAAAGTTTTATGTAAATTTAACGTAAAAATCTTTTTATATACTACATAAAACCATTATTACTATTATTTATGACGATAGAAATGATATCTTGTTCCGAAACCTTGTAACTAAATTATTTATAGTCGAACCTCTGAGCAACGGCCACCGACGGAAAACATTAAAAATGGCCGTTGTTTGGAGGTTATATTGTAAGCATTTTTGTTCGACATTCCTGAAATAATGGCCGACGTTGGGAGGTGCCGTTACTGCAGGTTCGACTGATTTATATTCAGATTTTTGTTCTTTAAATCTAGTTTTTCACCTACATTACCCCACTTTTTTAAATAAATACTTTTTACATTAGTTACGATTAATCACGATAAACGAATTCAATTATGTTTATCTACATAGTCAAATCTCTAAACATAAAAAATGGCCGTTCTTTGCAAGTTATTTTGTATGTATTTCAAAGAGACACGTTCTTAAAAACTTAGCCGCTGTTGAAAAGTGCCTGTTATTGCAGGTTCAACTGCCTTTCTTTATGAGTTTGTATTCAAATTTTTCTTCTTTAAATCTAGTTTTTCATTTACATTATCCCACTTTTTAAAAATAAGTACTTTCTATTTATTCCCTGTCGGTGTCCGTCGTTCAGAGGTTCGACGGCATGTATTGCTAAAGTTATTTAATGTAACTGGTAACAGTTTTTGTGAGTTTTTTAAATTAAAATTTGAAATTTTAATAGCTATATATTAAGTTAACACACGCCACGTCGTGCTTAGCAGTGTTCTAAACATCAACAGCCTCTGGCAATGAATTCATCAAAGTAAAAAAAAATTATGTAGCTTTAAATCATTTAAATTAAGCTCGTGTATTTCTAGATTAATAAATAATTTATTTGTCTGAAACTTCTAAAATAATATAAAGTTAAACTATGTTTTACTGAAAGGTGAAGCGATACGTTAACTCTAAAGCAGTATCTATAATGTATTGATTTAAACAGTTTCCTCTCATCAGTATCGCTCGATAACACTTATAAAATGAACTACTACACTTAAAAATATATTTTATTTACAATTAAGACTTATTTTTAATTGATCGGCACTATTTATCCATCAAAACTAGAGTTTCTACTGAGCAAATTCTGGGTAGAACCGAGTACATTCAAACCTATGAACGACGGCCACTGATGAAAGAATATTTACTGCTGTTTAGAGGCCGTTATTAGAGGTTCGATTGTATACATTTTCTCATTTTCGCTTTTAACTGTTACAGAATAGTGAAAATGAGATTCGTGAGTTGGTCTGTTGGGTTTTTTCCATTTATTGGACCACCCAGTGTATGCATATAAGCTCTTATAAGAGATATTTGGTGGTCCCCTTCCAGTCCTATGATGTAAATGATATCAGTTTACATATCAGATATCAAATCATCAATCTTTATATAAGATGAAGAACTTGATGCAGCTAGGAGTAACGATTTTTTTCTAACTTATTGACCAGATAATTTGGCATTCTTTAAATGGAATATTTATTAAAATAGCTTTTAGTAATGCTGAATTTATACAAAATTAACTATTTTTCTTCAATTATTCCTTTCGATTTCTTTAAATAATCGCCTAGAACTATGATTAAAACGTTATCAATATCAAAATTTAGTGTCATTAATGCCAAATTACTAGCTTCGAACGCGATATACTTTTTATTAAATGAATAGAATTAACTGTAACATTAAATATCATCATCTACATCATAATTTCTGATCTTGATTCATAGTATAGAGCTTGTTATACTGTTATCTTACACACACAACATTTACTGATTGGTTACAATTATACATATGTTATAGTACAGAAATGGATGATTCAGCTGTTACTTTGTCAATAGACGTATCTACTTTTTATAAATATAAAAGATATAAAAGCAGATATTGAACTTTTATACAGTTTATCGTTATCTTAAAAATAATAGCAAATATTTTATATACTGTATATAATTTTAGAATCGTGTATTTTACATAAATGTCTAAATTTGGGTGCCGCTCTGTGTTCGAAACTAGGACAAATGATCTGCATATAAGTTATACATAATCAGGTAAATCTGTGTATGCATACCTACATAAAGTGGGGTAGTTATATCTATGCATATGTATATACTTACGGGCTGTCCATTAATTACGTCTGCATTTTTCTTGAAATTTTTACTCCCTCCTCCTTGTTCCAGTTTGTCCACGTTTCCCTAACCCACTCTCCTCTTCGGACGTCCAACAAAACTCGACTCCCTTAAACCTTTATCAGCTTACGAATGATGAATACCATAAGAAGAAACGAAACGTACAAGAGATTTTGAAATAAATATAATAAAAATGCATAAATTGTATACAATTTAACGAAATAAACGAACGTCTACTAAAGCTCAACCCCTCCCCCATTGTCCGACATGTCGTAACCCTCCCTCCCAGTGTGGACATTATTTATGGGCAGTTCCTTACATCTAGTCGGATAATATATATACAGTATATATACATACAGTAAGTAGGTCTATAGGTGAGACAGTGGAACAGTAAGCCCACTTGGACCAATCTCTGGCAAATAGGAGCAGCAAATCTTTTAAGTATTAAAGACTTTAGATAAATAGTGAAAAAATCTGTTTTTATTCGCACATTTTATGTTTTCAGAGCGTTAGAACCCCGCATTTGACTCGAATTCTATTTCACCCTTCTCAGATCTTCAGTAATAAATTAAGTAAAACATAAATAATTTTTTAAAATTAACTTTTTATTATTCTTCGTTATAATAAAAAACTTTAAAATATTTTCACCTCAAGATAGAGAATTTCTGCTTTCTTCCATTTTTCTTAACCTTTCTTCATTTAATGTAATTCGTTGCTCTAAAATTGATACGGTCTGAAAGTGAATTACAGATAATTAATTTAAAAACAACGAGACCGCTATTTAATGTCGTTCGATCAGAATAATGCTAAATAGAGGTGTGATAATTTAACATATAAAACGTGTGTAATCAAATTGCTATTTAAAGTTTTGAGTGTTAAATGCAGGGATTTAACAATCAAAGATAAAACCTCTTTTTAACGTTTTTTTTCCCTACGAATCGATCAAAATGGGGAATAAATAAGAAATGTAGTTAAATTAAAATATAGAATTAAACCTCTAATTAACGTCTTGAGAGCTATTAAGGCTAGGTTTTAATATTAAAAATGAAACTTTTGTTTTCATTTCTTTCTAGGGTTCGTTCAAAATAGTGTTAAACAAGGAGTATGATTATTTAAAATATAAAATATGTACAATTAAAATCCCCATTTATCGTCTCGAGATCGATTAGAAGGTTATGTGCGGGAATTTAATTACTAAAATATGCAAAATTAATACATTGTAATCTCTATTAAAGTATGGAGAGTAATAAAGAAAAAAAAAGTTAAATGTTCAAGTTTCAAATGAAAAATAAGTACAGTGAACCTTTATTTGACACGTTAAGTTTGACCAAAAGAAAAAGTTTTACATACGGAAAATGCTATAAACGGGATTGTACCCCTATTTAACACTTTAAGCTTGGTTAAAAAAAAATGGTGTTAAATACGGGAAATGCTTTAAACAGGGTCCCCTAATTAACATTTTAAGCCTGACAGAGAAAGGGGAAAATATGATAAGAAATGGAAAAAGCTATTAAAAAAACAGAACGCTAATTCGAGGATTTTGTATGTTTCAATGCCAAGAACGACATCTAACCTGTGTTAATATGTCAAGTTGCTTGATTATATGTTGCAGCATACTCGAGTGCTGCGGCAATTCGACTTTTTCTTCTAAAGAAACGGTAACAGGTTCTTCGATTTCTTTATTTTCTTCGTCCTTTAAAGGGGAATTTCAGGCGATTAATCAAAATTTAATAATATAGGCCTAAATAAACTAAAACAAATTTCATACCGAACTTTTTGCAGATAAACCAGATGTCGAGTCACCACACGAAGGTGTTTCCACTACGGATCCAATATCTGTGATATTCATTTCGTTATCTCCGGTTTCCTTACAGTTCAGACGTGCAACGACCTAAAAAAAGGTCAAAGGTGAGATCTAGTCGAGTAATTGTCCACCTGTGTGCGCGTGCCGTGACGGTGCGTTGCGATGATTCGATAAGAAGTTAAAAGGTTCCGTTAGTAACATCTTACCTCAGTTACGCGTCGTTGCGTATGGCAATCTTTAACTGCTGGAGGTTGGTTCCAGACTTTATCGTATTTCAAATCTGAGTAATCTAATTGGTCGAAATTGGTCCTCCACACCATCACCTATTTGCGTTTTTAAGAAAGAATAGTAATAAACCATCAAAATTTCGTAAAATAAAGAAAAAAAAAAAAAAAACATCAAACCGGCGCAGCTGGATGTAACACTTGGGCAACTTTTATACCATAAATAATATAAAAAAATCTGCATGTGTTGTCGTTTATTTGGAAAATAAAGTTATTCTGGATGATTTAAAACCAATTTGGAAGAGTTAATAGGAATATTTATTTAATTTTATGATGAAAAATCGGGGATACCGAAAATTTGCACCAATTTCGCGTGTTTCGGCATCGCTCCCGCTTCACCAAACATTTTTAAATGTTCTTTTTTACTAGAACGCATTCATAAAACAGAAAACGTTCCAGTTAATTATTTTGCAACCGTTATTAGTTGAGAAAGCAAGAGTTGTTTAGTAAAATTGCTAATCACCAAAGAGCATTAAAACATTTTAAAAACTAATTCAGACTACAAATGTCCGCCGTAGAAGGATTGCTTTGTTTGGTGTTCACTTACTTAGAAAAACCTTTAATCAAAGTATTCATTCACACACCAACTTCAACTTTATACTTGAAAGTAGGCTACTGTAGACTTGCATATGCAATATACTATTGCCTGTAACGTTTTAGGTACAGTACTAGTAAGTGATAAGAACAAATAATAAATTAATATTATAAATTTCTTTCTTTAAAAATCCATTAAGATCTTGATATCGAACACTACATTGCACAATGGCTATACTTCAAGACTAAAGTTTGTGCTGCCTTTGAGTTAAGAATATATATACTATATATAAATATATTTTAAATAAATTTCGTCCTGATTTTTACTGTTATAGAAAAATATACACAGTTAAACCTCGAGTTTAGTGCCTCATTTGTTCGTCTCTGAAATCGGTACTAAATCGAAGAACCTCAAACCATAAAAATTAGCTTGCTGACTATAAAACAGTTATGCTCATATTTATAAAGCAATAGGGATGAACAGGTGAACAGCTGAACAGAACGTAGAGACGAAGTACAGGCCTGCAACAAGAACAGTTAATCTGAACGATGCGCTTCTTTATCAAGATAAAATGAATTTTACGTTAAACAAATAATAAAGAATAGGACGATGAAGAAGAAGATGATGATTTAATCGGAATTACTTTCATTCGATAATTATGGAACAATTCTACATGCTTTATAAAAGTAATAAACAGACATAGACGAAGAACATTTTTCAGTTAAATAAAAATTAACTTCGAAGAAAACAATCTTATCTACTTAAACGTAAAAATAATTGTAAATTATTTACTAAAATAATGGAAACTTTCTCAATCCCTTTTACAAAAACAACAAAAAAGAAGAAATTTTCGACTAAATATTTGTCGAAGTCTTTACAAAATAATCCCGTAGAACACCGCCAGATGTGAAAATTTCAAGTTATTTACAATTTTCTAGACGAAACATAAGCAAATCCATGATTTTTGATACAAGAAAAACCAACAACATTGCGAAACATTGCGAAAACACGCATCGTAACCAGTAAACAATTGTAAAGATGTGTCTAATGAATTCAATTGAATAAATTCTATTTCGCGCATCTTTTTCTTCAACTTCTGAGAAAAACAATAGATTCATCTTCACAGAAAATTAAAGTCTGAATCATATGAATTAACAGACCATTACAGTAAACACCATCTTATGAGACTTAAATGCGAATTTATTTGTTAATTCTCACCCCCTTCTAGGCCTCGATATAGTCGAACCTCGATAAAACGCCTTTCTACATAGCGCCAATGCTCCGACCGCTTTGATTTACGAACATCCAATCTTCAGAATTCGTTGTTTTATATATTTTATATAAAACTCATCTGTTGTGTTCCTCTGGTTTAGCGTCAGTTCGATTTCTGTAGCGCTATACAGAGGTCTCACTGTACTTATTTAGGGCTTCTGTGTAAGCGTAATTCTACAAAATCTACAGAGAATCCAAACATAATTATGCGTATTACAGCATCTAAGCTTGTTTCCAACATCAGATAATACATAAAAATAGAATAATTTTGGCATCTAACTATAATTTTGACTGGAAAAAAATGTCAAAATTTATACATGGAGATGCCCGTTTATCAACTTGTCTGACGAAAAATGTGATAATTACGTTGATTTATAAGAATTTTTTCAATAAAATCGTCGAATAATTCGGCTCGTGTGACCTTTAGAAAGGTCATTTTTTCTTTATATCGAATTTAATATTCTCTAATGCCTTTAACTGGATTAAATTCCGATCCAGTTTGTCCACTTGAAGAGAAATAAAACAAATATTTTTGGTGCTTGAAAACAACAAAAAATAAAAATAAGGAAGAAAACTTGATGCAATCGTTATATTAATTAATTGTGAGTAATAATAAGTAATTTAAAACAAATTAATTCACGTGACACCCGTGAATAACGCGCGAGAATAATACAAAATGATTAATAAAAGGGCTCGTTAACTACTACCCACGTTAAAATGACACAACAAATTTCTGTAAAATAGCGAAAATTAATTAATTTCCTTTAAAAAATGGCGCTAATAGCTTATTTAAAACAATAGAATTAATTTAAAAATAATTTTATTTTTTAAAATGATCATAAATGACGTCACAGCACCAGCTGCATCAGTTAAAACCAGCCAAAAAAATAAGTTAAACTAAAGAAAAATAAAAATGATTGAAGTAGTCGCAACCCGGGTATGTGTTCAAGTGGAACGCTGAGTGATGAATATGAGGTTGTTGCCATCTGTTGTAGAGCCGCTTCCCTGAAATCTAATCCTTCAACTAGTCATTTGAGACATCTCGCATCCACTGTGCATAATAAATAACCCATTTGCATACTATACATGCAAATTTATAATCTTAAAATAAAGAAAAAACACAAATAAGAAGGACTATAACCATATTCTTCACCATATTAGCATGGAATTTTACGATGCAGCCCTTCGTGAACACCGAAAAACGGGCGGATAATGCTTAATAATTCGATAAAAATGCTATTGTGTTCTAAATTATAATTAAAATTCGAGCTTTTCGGCGTGTTTACTGCGTTTAAAACGTTATGCCGGAGTTTAAAAACACGTAAATTATAATGTTAAAATAGTTTAAAAATTTAGACAAAGAATCCCCTTCCCAAATTTATTTATGGGATTTTTCTTTTAAATAAGTTATAAAATGCCAGTTTTTTTTTTGGGGAAGGAAGCAGTTTTATTAATATTCCACCTTTACAGCTAACGAACCCAACATGAATTTCTAATATATTTAACTAAATATGTGCAATGTTTACATGATGTTAATATTCCGGATGGTGTTCGCAGGTGTTCTAAAACTGTCGGAGCGCAAAAATTTATTTGTAAAACGAAAAAAAAAAAAAAAATAACACGTATCACACGGAATTTGTGTTCCACCAGTATTTTTGAAAGTTTTAAAGGTAGGCCACGTTGAAATCACTATTACGAATTTCATACGCGATGCGACGCGACGTCGCATCGCGTATCACAAGTGGCGATGCGCTGCGAATCGGTAACAGGCGCGTTTATTACAATTTAGCGTGAATAATAGCAATATTTAATGCCTCGGAAAGTATCTATCTAATTTTCACTTGGCCCACCAGAGTGGATAAAAATGGTAGTTAGTGGCGAGTTCGCGCCTCACCAACTAGTCAGGTGGAGTTTTCCCGGTTTTTCTTCACGTTTAACACCTTAATACAGGCCAATTTCCCATAAAAATGTCCACATCCATTGGCAGATTGCCCCTGTGTTGGGTTGTAACCCTCAAATCAAACCACTTTTCTGAAATCCAAATTATTTCTACCTACCTACCTATTTTATCCCTAGTCACATACCACGTTTTATGATAACTTCTACCATATCACGTGATCATATTAATAGAGCTCTTGCTTCATTCTTGAGTTCTTTCTTGTAGATAGAAGCTTTTCTCAGCTTCTATCTACAATAACGCCATTAATAATCTATAAGCTCCATCTTCGACCATTAATAATCTATGAAAAATCACGAGAATCCAGCAGTCTTTTTTATCGATGGATAAGTATGATATACGCGTAATATGTCAATTCACCAGAGAGTTGGATAGATCATTTGGATTTCAGAAATATGCGAGATATGTAGCATATATTTTTCTGAAACTGAAAACATTTGAGACACAACCCTCACATTTCTAAGATGCAAACTAAGCGCTAGCCGCAGATTTTGGCGATTTATATATATTATTATTATGGTGTTGGCCATTATAACGGACGAAACCGAATTCTCATGTACAAATAGCTCTTATATGTTACTACACATCCCTACAAAAAGCAGAACCTCCAAACAGCGGTCAGTTTTACGTTTCTGTTGTTCAGAGGTTTGACTGTATTTGAGTTTCCGAAAAGTAAGTTTTAATCGAATTTTAACTATATGATTTCCCATTATTTTGATAGAATATAAATTTAAATACGGAAGGAGTATCAAATATTCCTTTAAAACTGAAAATTATTGAGATATTTGTCATACACAAAAAGATTTAAGTGATTTTCTTTATGACACAGCTTATGGGAAACCAGACCTCGATTTAAGACGATTATTTAACGTTTCCTACCCAACAGAATCATTTTTGTCTCAAAAGCGGGTTTACTATATACGAGTACACATATATATAGGTCTACATCAGGCATATATTACATATATTATAGGTATATATGTCCACTTATAAGAATTCTACGAAGTAGACTGTATATAAACATATAGAGGTACTTATATAAATTTATATATCTGTATATAACTTTTGGCTTAAAGACCTACACTAGCTCTTTACGCATTGATTCAAATAGTCTTTTTGGGCTGAAATTTGCATTTTTATTTTAAAAATTATGGTGTGTCACAGGAATCTTATTAAATTCAAAGCGTGTCGCTAATCCAGAAAGGTTGGGAAACACTCATGTAAACAATGGTCACTGACGGGACAGAAAGCGATCGCTGTTTGTAGGTTATTTTG